ATTACTTCATGTTTGCTTTTCTTGTCAGCTCTGGCGCAGGTATTTATTTCATTTCTGTCCTTTCTGGAGCGTGGAATTTTCACTTCCAAATGACCTCTTTGAGCTTCTAACCATTTTTTTTTCTTAGGTTTTTGTTTGTTTGTTTGTTTTGTTTTCATTTGTATTCTTTGATGGATACTATTAATAGCATTTATTTAGCAGAAAATTAACATTAAAATTATTTAACAAAATTAAGCACAAAGTTGGGATTTAACCACAGGATATGTAATTTTCCTTTTGGCTTCTTTTTAATCTCAGTCTTTAGTTTTCTGTGTCTAATCCAAACCTGGAAGCTTTTGAAGCAGAGAGACGTGTTATTTTGCTTGTCTGTAAAATATCTCAAGCATGTATGACATTCTCTAAGGATCTGGATTTTGCCATTATGAGGAAAGTATCTCTGATTACTTTCTACTGTCTTCTCAGTTATACATTTCTATACTCTTTTAATATTCGTGTTGTTCATTTAGATATCTTGAGAAAAACTTTTGAAATACATTTTTTTAAAAAAAGTTTTTAAAAAGTATTTAAAAGTATTGAGTTAGTGCATTGACAAGCAAGAACTCAACAGTTGTAGTATTTATTTAGCAAAGATCTGTGATCTTCCTACAGACATATAACACTGATTTTTTTACCTGAAGCTCTTCTTGTAGTTAGGTACTCAAAAAGGAGGCAGGTTACAAGGTGGATTAGTCAGCTTTTCTGAGTTAAGTATTTAGGAGCGCTGGTGCATTTGAGTATTTGACTGTTGCCCAATTGGAATGTTCATAATTAATGTTTTTTTTCCCAAATCTACTGAAAGACTTGAGTGTCTACATATAAATTTAAAAGAACAAGAAAAAGGAAAAACAATTGTGAATCATAGCTCTAATTCTACTTTTCTTTATTGTTTTTTTTAATTATAGTTATTTTGTAAATTACTGTTAGCTAGTGTAGGTTTTTAAACATAACCATGCTGTTTTGAATTTATGTAGAGATGAGATTTAATTGATGTTAATTGATTGCTAGTTCTAAGTGGTTGTTATTATAAACTCTTACATGTTTTACAGATGAGGCTGTTGTTGATCTGCTGTCTAGTTTGAATGTTATGGAAAGAAAGGCTTGTGTGTTTTCATAAAAAAATTAAAAGGACCAGAAAATACAGAATCATTTTCAATCAGTAAGCTGGAGGTGAAAAATAAATATAATGCCTATATCAAATTTGCTTCATCCAAACAAATGTGTTTTCTGCTTATTGCATGGTAAATATACCCAGTTTAAAAAAAAAAAAAAAAAAAACGTAAAAAAATCAAAAACATCTAAAAGTTCCACACATATTTCTAAGGATAAAGTGATGCTGTAAGCAGAGATTTGAGTTGTTGGATTATTTAGATTTAAGGGTAAGATTTTGGATCTGTACATGTTTTAATGTCTTTGATGCATTTCTTGAGGTCTGCTAGAGAAATACAACTCTATCCGTGCTGGGCACTTCATATTGTTGTCCTCTCACAATGCAGAAAGTGGGTAGGAATGAGCTGATTACCTTGGTTTGTTCAGAAGTGTTGCACTAGATACTGTAGAGTTTGAAGCCTCAAGATATCGCCAGTGGGGGACAAGTGGGCATCTCTGCAGAGCTCAAATACAGTTAATGGCTAGGTAGCTCCTCAGGCTATAGAAGGATGCTCATGTGTGTGAATCAAGTCCTGTTTTATTCCAGAACTGAAAAATGGACAGACTCTGTGCAAGTAGAGCAGCTTTTTTGTTTCTTGATAGTCTCTCTCTTAATTCTGTTGGAAGTGCATTGTGAAATGGGGGCTATAGGCTATTTTTTAAACTCAGTTTTTTTTCTTTTTTAACAGTTTCACTGTGTTAGTCATCAATTCTCTGTAAATTTTTCATCTTATTTGAATTTTTCCTTTTTGGACAAAAAAAAAAACAAACAACCCAAAAGCAAACAGTAAACGGAATCACAACTTGTAGTGAGAATGAATCTGGACAGATAAACTCTATTGTTTAGCCAGAACCATTTTGTGCTGGTTTTATGTTTTACGAATGGGTAAGTGACAAAAAAATTTCCGTGTGTACTACACATTGGCCCAGAGGGCAAGAGATAAATTTTCCAGTCACTTAAATTCAAGGACAGTTCATAACAGACTTTCCTGTTACTCTTCAGAAAATTTTTACACGATCAGAAGGATAGTTTGAACAGATGCAAATTTTTTCATCACCAGGGTCTGCCATTTTACAACACACGTGTGCTGCATAATTACAGCTCTATACTCACAGCACTAGTGAAACAGCACCTTTAATGTATCCATCTCAAAATTACAAATGCTGGGTTTTCTTTCTCTAGAATTAAACTGCATGGAGCACATTTAATTTGCTACATATGAAACCTAAAGCAAAGAAGCCAACATTTGTGACTGGTTCTGCTGAAAATAAACCCACCATAAAATGATTTGAATTTTATGTGTGTCTTAATATTAAAACACATTTTTTTAAAATTTTATTTTCTTCGTTTTTGAGAATCTGATATAGGAAATTGTGAACACATTTTATTAAGGCAAGGAAGGTATATTATCTGGTTAATCTTTGTAAGGTTTATCCATAGCTCATTCTGCAATAACCACATTAGCAGTCCTTGGCTGCCTTTTCCTCACATGTACAATGTTGGTTTCTGAGGACGTGTATGATTATGGGTACCCTTTGAAGAGTCTATCGTGGCAGGAAATAGAGGAAGATAAAAATTAGGCTGTGTCAGAATAAGCCAATTGCAAAGGAAACCAATTTTTGGTTTTGCCACTTTAATACAGCAGTGCGAAGCAAACAGATATTATCACTTAATATTATTTAATACTGTAATACAGGCCAGTGTACTGTCACCTGTTCAAGCTATCCAGTGCTCCCATGTCGAGCATCCCTAAGGAAAAGTGCTTCCTTTCTCCCTTACCTATGGCTGTTTAACAGCTCATTTTTCTCATTTCTTTGCTTGCCAAGGAGTTTCTTTTGTTAATGCTGCATCAATCCATTCTGTAGATGTTATAGTTTATTAAAATATTACACATTGGATTCTAGGAGAGGATTCAATAGTATATTAAGCCATATGTAGGCAGATCCTAATAATTTACACAAATCCATGCTAAATTTGCTGAGAGAGGAGTGTGTGACTTTCAGGCTTAGTGCCCAAAACATGGGTGTCATTTCCTTGTTCGTTTAGATTCACTGTTTCTTTTTGAGACGTTTCTCTGCCTTGGTTTGCATGTGTAAAGTAAGGTGATAATGTGAGTTCCCTCTCCTGTAAACTGCTGTTCTTGTTATGAATTTTAAATTGTCTTGGTGTAGATGTGATTTATCTGTCTTTATTCTGAAATTTCCAAGAGTAGTCATATGCTGTACCCTGAAGGAGATGTTTGGGATCTGACATTTACCAGAATTCAACTATACCTTTCAACTTCTAGATTAATATTTTAAATCCTAATTATTTGGGAGAGTTAAAGTCTGTCTTTTAAGGATATTTTTTTTATCTTTATTCGAGAAAAAACAAAATTCTGCAATAGAAAATGAAATGCAACATGGTAATGGGCTTTGATAGTGAATGAACAAATACTTATTTACATCTTCGAGAGGAAAAAGTAAATTTTTTTTCAAAGGTGCTTGAAAGCTCTCTTTCTGAATCATGGTTATCTGCACATTTGCTATTTTTAGGAAAAGAAATGCACTGAACTGAATTGCTGCATATGAATTTTTATGAATTTTATATTACACAACTCTTAGCTACAATATGAGCAGTAGAAGCTAAAGTGGCCTTTTATTCTATGGTATTTTTACTTTCATTATTTATTGTTTACTACTGGGCAGGTAAGTGAAGTACTGGTGTGACTGAATAAAGAGTTGCTGCCTTCAGTAGTGATTTTCATCTTTTTTTGCAGTTAACATATGGTTTATACTTTTCAAAAATAGGCTTACTTTAGAAACAATATTATTGGGAACAAATTATTAAAATCAGGAAGCAGAAATTAATATCTCAAAAGGGTAAGAAGGATTAATTCAGTGGCACAACTGGAGGCATCTAGTTTCATTTTGGATATACTCAGGTGCCCCCTCCAGCTCTCTCTCCAGAACATCACAGATCTCTCATCAGGTTCCCAAGCAATGGCAGAAGTATTTTACTCATGCAGCAAGGTTAGCTACTGATTACTTTATGTATATCTTGTGATGATGTAAAGGATAAAGATCAGTTTTTCAATGTGTACTTACTTCCTGTAGCGTGTGTTACAGTTACGTGTAAATAGTACACCTAGGTACTGAGTGCAGTGTGGTGTTCAGGAAGGACTTTTAGTTGTCATATGACAAAATTTTACTACCTAATAAAGGCACAATCAATTGCATGTCCTATAAAAAACTGAGTAGATAATGGAGTCTGGATGACTGGAAGAGGTCTAACATTGTGGAAACTACAAACAGAATTATGGAAAGTAGAGGAAATCTTGGAATAAAGTGCATGAGTTAATAAATGCTTGTAACTTTGGAAACCAGATGCCTTTTCCTCTCTTCTTTCAGCAAATGCTATTTCAGGATTGCTTCAGAGGATTTCAGATCTTAAGGAAAATATTCATAAAGGGAGATAATGTAGTCTAATACAAGAGGGAAGTTGTTTCTCAGTAACTTATTTATTTTTTTAAATTGTCAGGAAAGTGTGTACCAAACTTATGATTCCGAGTGTGTAATATCACCTGTACAGAGATGCATATTTCAATCTAGACTTTGTGAAAGGTCAGAGCTAAGTGATACTCTGCAGATTTGGATTCAGAAGCTGCCATGTAGAAGCTAAAGTTAAGTAATTCAGTCTCATCCTGCACTGGAAAGCAAAGCATAATACTGAAGGATTACAGTTCCCTTACAATGATATTGCCAAGTAAACCCTAGAGGGAAAGAAACAGAATTTCATTCCAGAATATTTCAAGTTACATTTCTTTTGTATTCAGGTGATGAGCCAGCAAACTAGCCATCCTTATTATTATGATGATGATGATAATGATGATGATGATAATGATGCTGTTGGCAAGAAAAAAGAAATAATGGTTAAAAAAATGTGGATTCTTCAGCTCTAGGAAAGACAAAATGGATAGCGGAGAGTGCTTTTGCTTTTCTGTCACTGGAGCAAGCTTTTCTCACTGTTTTCACTCTGGCCGTTGTGCAGGTGGTTGACCAGATTGACACGCTGACATCTGACCTGCAGCTGGAGGATGAGATGACAGACAGTTCCAAAACAGACACTCTCAACAGCAGCTCCAGCAGCACCACAGCTTCCAGCTTGGAGAAAGTCAAGGTGCGGGGTAGCGCACCGCTGATCAAGCCTCCCGCGCACCCCTCCGCTATCCTCACCGTGCTGAGGAAGCCAAATCCGCCCCCACCTCCACCACGACTGACACCAGTCAAGTATGACGAGCCTCCAAGGCTGCCTCCTTCAGCCAACCCGGTCAAGACTAATGGCACCCTGCTGCGAAATGGGGGCTTGCCTGTCGGGCCCAACCGCATTCCAAATGGAGATATGTGCTGTATACCGAACAGTAATTTGGAGAAAGTTGCCATGCAACCGCCTCTGATGCACAGACCTGAGAAAGAGCGGTGTCCTCAGCCGGGAGCAAGAGAACGGGTACGATTTAGTGAAAAAGTGCAGTACCATGGCTATTGCCCCGACTGTGATGTTCGGTATAACATTAAAAACAGGGAGGTGCACTTGCACAGCGAGCCTGCCCGTACTGTGGGAAAGCTGCCTCACCAGTGCCCTCCCCTGCCGCCTCCACCACCTCCGCTGCCTCCAATTCCTCTGGAAAATGGAGGGTTGGGGATAAGTCCCAGTAATAGCTTTCCTCCTCCAAGACCTGCGACTGTGCCTCCACAAACTGCGCCAAAACCCCAGAAGACCATCTTGAGGAAGTCAACCACCACAACAGTGTGATGTATGCCACTTGAAATAACTTTTTTTTTCCTATATATAAACATAAATAGATGATGAGCACTTTCTACTTGAGCAATAAAAAGACCCAATGTAGTACTCCCTGTGTCCAGTGAAGTGGCATAAAAATCACATGGTAAGTACAAGGAGGAATGCTTGTTGATCTTACTTTTACTCACCAAAAAATGTTGTCATGACAAAGGATGCTGAAAAAATATTTTAACTTATAGGTTGTAAACATCTGTTGCGGTTTCATACACTCAGTGTGGTTTAAAAGACAGTGAAGAGGGAGTTCGGTTAGAAAATACTGAGTGCTGATTCGTGATAGATTTCTGTCTGCTGGATGTAAGGCAATTACCATTGCTACTGTTTTTGGGGAAACTTCCTGTTTCTAGCAAGTACCTTTTAAAATATCATTTGACAAAGCAGAGTGGAGTGCCAGATAACAGCTTTTGACTGAATTCTGTCAAATGCATTTTTCTCTATGTGCCTGCTCCAGTGAAGGCATTTTGTGTGAAGCAGTGCAACAGGAGGTAATCATTGGACGTTCAGGTAGCTTGATCTTTGCTGGGGGAGTAAATAATAATTGAAAGATACGTTGACATGGCTCTAGACAACTGAATTATCTCCCTTTTTTTAATCTCACTTGCTCAGTGCACCACAGCCAAGGTGAATCACAGAGCGTTCAGAGGAGCAGGGATAGTCCCATTCAGTTCCCTGCTATTTCCACTGCTCCATCTGCAAATGGTGGTAATATTTTATCTCACATGTGATGACAGTAGTTTAAAACAACAAAGCACAGTCCTGCATTTTTCACAAAGCTTTTGTCTGGTGAAAATCTTTTTTTGAAGGCAAAGAAAATTTTGCCTAAGGCCCTCAGGGACATCCACTTAATTCATGTAAAGAGCTTTGAAGTTGAAAAGCTCTGTGCAATTATGAGGCATTAACATGCAAAACAAGATATTTTACATGTTATCACATTTTGATGGTGAACCCAATTAATATTCTAACTAGCTGAAAAAAAAACCTCAGTGCTTTTAATTATTTTATGAAAGAACATTCTTTTATTCTCAGTAAGAGAAGTAAAAAACAGAGTTAAAAAAACATCCAAACAGTGAAGAAAATCTGATAATGAATCTGTTATTTACAAAACTTCTGCTTAATTAATCTCAAACGGCCCAAGAGCCAGATGCTATGTAAAAGCAGTATGCTTTTTTTTTAGCTGAAATGTAAAATGTACTCTGTGGCAAAGCAGACAAAACTAAACAAAAAAAAATTTTAGCTTAAATTTCTATTCACATGCTGTAATAAATATTAAATTGAAAACCACACTTCAAGGAGTTTCCCTGTACACACATTAGAGTTCATTTATCATATTTAAACTGAAATAATAAAATTAACTGTAACAAAAATTCTAATAGTTACCTACCCTTTGAAGACCTTTGCAGTAGCACGGATTTTATTTTGTGCAAACACATTTCAGGTCTAAAGCTTCACATTGTGTTCCTTGCATAGAAGTACTAAAGCTAGGAAATGATCTTAAATGCTTAATCATGCTTTCCCCAAATGATCCCCATGTACTTTACATGCTGCCCTGTACATTTTGTATTGTGTGACTATACTTAATCTCATGATACCTATTGCCAAGCGAAGTCCTAGCACTTGAGCAAGAGGCAGTGACTGATTCTGTGTGTCTATGAGATCTTTTCTGACTAAATGAAGTTTCTGTCAGGTGGATTCTGCTCATGCCCTGGGACTCCCCAGCACCTCCCTTCCTCACACATTGAAAATTACATTTAAAATCACTAGAACAATGTGTGTACATATCCACATTGTGTATACACAGGTTTGGGATTTTTTTTAAAAGAAAGCTTCTACTCTCTTGAGTTTTCTCAGGTGGATTCTGCTCATGCCCTGGGACTCCCCAGCACCTCCCTTCCTCACACATTGAAAATTACATTTAAAATCACTAGAACAATGTGTGTACATATCCACATTGTGTATACACAGGTTTGGGGTTTTTTTAAAAGAAAGCTTCTACTCTCTGAGTTTTCTGTGGAAATCATATACCAACTGTTATAAGCTAGTTTATCATTTTTCTGCTTCTTAGAAGAGCTACTGCTTACAAGAAATTATAGGATAATGCAAATCAAACATTGCATTTTTTCTATAAATAGAATCATAGAATGTGTTGAGTTGGAAGGGACCTTTAGATGTCATCAACGCCAACCCCCCTGCAGTGAGCAGGAACATCTTTAACCAGATCAGGTTGCTCAGAGCCCCATCAAGCCTGACCTTGAATGTCTTGAGGGATGAGGCCTCCAGCACCTCTTTGAACAGCTGGTTCCAGTGTTTCACCACCCTCATTTTAAAAAAATTCCTCCTTATATGCAGTCTAAATCTGCCTTCTTTCAGTTTAAAAACATTACCCCTTGCACTGTTGCAAAAGGCCTTGCTAAAAAAATTTCCCCCATCTTTCTTATGGGTTCCCCTCAGGTACTGGAAGGCTGCTACCAAAGTCTCCCCAGAGACTTCTTTTTTGTCAGGCTGAACAATGCCAACTCTCTCAGCCTGTCTTTGTAGGGGAGGGTTTCCAGCCCTCTGATGTTCTTTATGGCCCTCCTCTGGACCCACTCCAATATGTCCATGTTCTTTTTTTGTTGAGAGCTCAGAGGTGGACACATGTTTCTGTTTCATATTAAATTAGAGAAAATAACACAGAATTGAAATACATGAAAATTTCAGGTTTGTTGCAGTGCCAAGTTTACAGTTCTCAGCTCTGGAAAGTGTAAGTGGCATACGACATTCATCATTTCATGTTCGGTTTTGGTATCCAACACCTTCTGTCTTATACTCTGTCCCCTCTTTCAGAGGCACTTTCTTGTCT